GCGTTTCAGGCAGGGGAGGGAACTTTGGGATATTAGCACTTGCAGACCCTTTACATGAACAAAAACCGATAAAACCCACTAAGAAAAACCCCTTAAAACTAAATAGAACCCTTTTACATGCAGTCTTTTTTCTGCATTGCACTTCACCTTATGTCAATGCTTTGCTCTGCACATATATAACAGGATGTGATGTACGTCCATGCGAGGAGAAGTATAAGGGAGGAGAGGAATGTAAAAAAGGAATTTAAGTGGAAGTACAAGGGCACTGTGTGCTGACAAAATCAGTCTCTCTTTAACTTTAGCCAGAACATTCATCCTCCCCTTGTAGTCTGAGACGGAGAATAATGTCTTCGGAGCCATGAATAAAGCTGAGAAGTCCTCAGTGACAAGGAGGAGAGGAGGCGCCGGGAGAGGATGGATTAGTTCACAGTCTGTGATTTAATGATAAGGCTAAGAATGACTTATAATAAATCTAAATAAGAGCCTTTCTCATCTATTATATTAAAACATGATTCCAAGTAAATGTATGTAACAAATTACATTAAGCCCAATGGAACCAGCCACAATATAGTTGATAGTGTATAAATGGTAGAATAAATATAGCACAACATGTAATGTAGTTATATTATATACAGCATGTTTAATGTTCTTCCTCACCTTCATGTCCATAGATGGGCATCTATTGGAAAGAAAATATGTTTATGGATATGTTTGACCCTCGTGGAATGCAATTGCTTTCTAATTTGAGCCCAGGGGAAAACATCAGTCCACTCTGCTACAACTGCTTTAGATACTATTTACACAGCTGTCGCGTTTACACACAGCTCAATTATACAGTGGAGAGAATTGCTACCTATTATAGGGCAAACTGCCAATCCAACAATCATGTGCTATTGTTACAACTTCCTACGCTTATATAGCCACTTTCAAAAGAACAAGCATATCTGGTGCCAATAAACTGGGCGTCTGTAGTGCCTTTAAGGGCAAATAATGTTAGCTCCAAGGAAGAGATGTAAAAAGGAAAATCACAGAAGAGTTCCCAGATGAGGCTCACTGTGACTCGTTTCAGCACTAAGAAGCGATGAATGACTGTGAAAAGTCAAGAATTCCTCTTTTTGCAGAAATTAAACAAGTTATATTTGTCTTACTTACTCGCCCCATCAGAGGAAAAATCTGCAAATCCCACTGCACATTATGACCTCATTCTTTCAATGAGCATATTTGGGAGCTATGATCTCATCTAGAATCATTATTGATGTGCAGATATGGTAGAGACAGCATGAGTCTTAATTTAGTAATGGATTATTCATCAGACTAAGTGTCCAACATCAGTAATCAGGCTGAGAAATAAGTGACTTGGCCTCGAACATTATCAGTTCCAGAAAAGCAGCGCTCCAAGTCGTGTGAGATAAGAACCTTAAGTTCCCTTAAATGGAGAGAGAGGAAGTGAGAAGCAAAGAGTATTGGCTTGTTGTTGCAGTCAGTGTTTGTGTGTCCAGCACGGGGCATAGTTTGTTGGAAGAACTACTTGGCCCTATTTTCATGAAACTTGGTGGAAGGGTGTAGCTTGGGTCAAAGAAGAAACTATTTTATATTGGAATGGGGCCAAATCCAAGGGCAGACACAGATACGGCATTGGCGGAGGTGTACATATTTTTGTTGATGCAGCTTTTATGACTCGCTGTAATCAAAGTGAGGAACCTCTTTTCTCTCCTATACAGTTCATTAAATGTCAGTATTGCCCTCATTGCTATTATAGAAATTGTGAAGACTTGACAGGCCTAATTCTTAAATTGAACCAGCAGGATTGTAGCTACATACAAATATCATAGAGTTTTGTAAGGCCAAGATAAAACATCTTTAAAATCAGGAGGTATTTGACTATTACAGATAAACAAGGGTCAAGTAGCATTCGGGCATGCATGGGTTTGGCTGCTCATAGGAACACAATGAGTGCCAACACGTGAAGACAATCACAGGAAAGTAACTGAATGTGAATTTAGAAACCTTTAACTTCCATGTGCAAGTTTTTTAGCGCCTTGATGAAAACTGCATGAAGCAAATGGTCAGAAGTACCAACTGTACTTGATAATACATGTGTGTATACAAACAACAGAGTTTTACAATGTACAAGAGGATAAAATAATGATTTAGTGAACTGACTTAATGTGGAAAGGACGTTTATTATATATATATATTATATATTAATAAACACGTTATTATTAGAGTACCCTTATTTGATGCATAATTCCACATGCCACAGATATGAACAGACACAACAGATTACCTCTACTAAAACCTGTCTTCAGCTCTCTTTGGCCATGGTGAGGCTGCCCCCATGTGGTAGTTAATAAAATAGTACTTCCACAAATGTGTTTGACTCAAACAAGTGAATATTTTTATTTTTGAACAATTAAAATAAATTATAAAAGTATCAAACATTTGTAAAATAAAAGAGAAAACTTCAAGGAATGTTATCTTAACATTCAGTCCTTAATTATTGAAAAACCATGCAATAAGGAATAATGCAAGCAGACTAATGCATGCTGAAGCTATCAGTATTGCCAGACATTTTTGACCTAAACCAATAAAAGGTCATGTGAGATAATCGGCAACAAACTGCATGAAGCATTACTAAGGATTTGAGCCTTTCTTTGAGCAGCATTCATAGAGTCCATGCTGTAATGCCTGTGGATTACACTCAATGAAAATGGGAGATTATCATTTAATCCTGCCAAAAGACAGTGTTGAAAGGCCTCTCAATGCGGTTTAAAAAACACTTCACCATTTATGCATCAGGTCCAGGTACAGTGTTGCTGGCAGAAGTCCCAGCAGGCAGAGAGGCACCTCGCAGAAACACCTTCCCAACATTATCACCGCTGTTTACAAAGTGGCTCACCAAGCCATAGAGGAGAGGTCTGGAGAGAAACATTTGAAAAAAGTAGACGATGTGTGATGAACATTTCAGGGAAAAAGACCTGATATGAAAGTGACGAAAGCCGGACAAAACCCCTTAAATTGCTCCATGTAAGCAACCCCCTGCTGAGATCATATTTCACAACACAAAATAATTAATATGTTTTTCCAAAACACTTGTTGGGACAAGAAATTATTGAAAATCTCAAGGTGTTTCAAGCTAAAAGGATGAAGACTGTGATGATTTGAAGAGCTTATGTAATTATTATCCCATAACTGACCATACCCCCCAGACTTTAGTAAATATTTGAACTCAGTGTGTTGGGCAACAGATTGTACTGCACTCACACAGACTTGGAGCTTGTATCCTCAGTGACCTTCAGCTCATTGGCCAGGAACTGTCTGTCCAAGGGAACTTCAGGTTGGCATGACTCTGAGAAAAGAAACACTGCTGAGTGAAGGAGTTATAAGAATTTAGAAATATTTAATTGATCCCCTGGGTTGAACTGGGTTTTGTTACAGTGCAGTTTGTCACCATTAAGTCTCAAAACTGAAACTGAAATCTGTCATCTCAGTCGGCTTTCAGAATACAAATGTGTTTTTTGCATAAAAACACTTTCACTTTGAAAATGTGCTATAGTTTTCACTCATTGATCAAGTGATCACTTCAACACAATTTGTAAAGGCTCCCTAGAAGTGATATTTTTGGCACATGAGTGTAGTGTGCCAGAATCATTAAGTGACTATATATAATCAGAGACTATTTTTCACCCACCTGCTGTCAGGACTGAAGCAGTATATCTGTACTTATTGAACTCCAGGTACTCCCGGATGAGCTCGTTGATGAGCAGGTTTTCGTGGGACAACGGCGGGCGAGGCTCCCGCTGGTCGTCCAGGGCGCTGAACACCTCTGCCCGGATGCGAGCCTTCAGCTGGCCCAGCACACCCCGGGACTCCAGCGTTTCCCTCACCGCTAAAATATTCATGTTATTTTGAAGTGATAAGTACATTGTGAGAACTGACCATCAGACAACATGATTGGGAGCTTGCGTTGCGTTAGTATCGTTAGTATGTTCATATAATCCGCATTTGACCAAATGGGCGGGTTTTTTCTAATATATGCCGTACTCCACTCAATAATCTGCCAATATAAGGTTATTTTACTTACTGACAAATATATACACCTCTTCAAAGCTGACTGGATATCATAAAATAAACATTAGATACCACTCTTTAATTCGGAATACATTTGCTAATTCAAACTGTCTTGGTTTAATAAATAAAATACAATTTATTCCTACTCACAGCTTCGACCAAACGTAATCTAATGGCTCGCTGGCTACTGTTAGCAAGCTGGCGAGCATTGTGAAATGAATGAAAACCTATAATTATGTTGAACATAGGTTGTATTTATATATGCCGAATGAAAATGTAGATGTTAGCAGTAGATACAATGCCCTCTTCTTATCTAGTAAAAATGTTGGATTTTTCAATGGAGACACATACATACGAGGACGTTAACTTAGCTAACCGATGTTACTAGCAGTTTGACTAATGTGTTTGCAGTAAAGAACTTGTGGTTTATCAATTTGAGTTGGATTTAAAAGTAGACAAAATCATAAATTATAGTGAACACTTACCACACTTCAGTTCAGTGATGGTCGCCATTGCAACAAGTGTAAACAAACGACTGTCTTCCACTTCTTCTCATGCAATATATCTCTGCCATCTGGCGACGAAGTTGTGTAACTACAACGGACTGTTTAATTAGACCCAAAACATCACATACAATCTGTGCAAACCTTATAACAAACACATTCATATATAAGTGTTATGCATTGTGATATTAAGATGTATGTTTATCTTTAAAGGATGAGCAATCATTCTGTTTCTATTCTTAAGATTATTAGAGCAGAGTCACACTGAATATATGTGGATTCAGAGTCAAGCCTATCCATGGTTACATGCATCAAATATGACAATTTTTAATTCAATTCACTTTGGATGAACTCTGATGCAGAAGTAAGTAGAATTTGATTAATACAATACGTTAGACTCAAATAGACTTTATTATTCAGCTTGATGGTACAAGACAGTACATTAATAGTAAACGTGAAAAAATAACAAGCTTATTATAAAAAGTATAAATATAATACAATCCTTGAAACCTTAAGGACACTTAATACATTTTGTCAAATGACATAAATAAACTATAGGCTTTCTGTTATTGTCAAAACCAGTTAGACAAAAACAGTAAATGCCTCTTCTTTGAAAAGTTCATTGGGTTCTTTCTTGGAATCAAGAGTAAAGGTCAACGGACTATTTACACTGTCATGTCAGCACCATAAACCAATATTTTTTTATATTCTCTGCACACGGCCTGAGATGTGTGGTGAGGGCAGAGAGACAATCACACAGAGATTTATCACTATTGTTTTGAAGAGAAATTCTCTTCATTCATGGTGGTTTCCACTACCGGCGTCAGGTTAAGTCTGACCAGCAAGGTCTCTATTGACTTTCTTTATGTGTTTACTTTGACAGAAATAAACAACAGCCACACCATAGTTGGACGATTGCTAATGTGTTGGCTCACTTCAATGTTTTTCCGTTTTTTTTACCCTGATGTATAAAAGCTCCAAATTGGCCGTTTCCAGCAGAGATTTGGAAGGCAGTGAAACCTCACTTCCCCTGGGTTTTGCCAGGATGAACCTTTTGAAAGTTGCTTTGTCAAAGTGTTTCCCGTTCCAGTCTCCGGGGCACAAGATAAAATATCAGTTTACAATTACAAACTTGCCTCCTTCTTGGTATACAAGGCTAAGAAAAGTGTGAGTAAACATCAACGTTTGAGCCTGAGACAACATCATAAAAATATGTCATGTGCTTTATAACACTTACAAAAATCTACAAAAATAATACAGCTCCCATTCCAACAGAGAAAAATTATTTATGATTTGTGGTAGCTTGTAGCTCTGGGCTGAATCCTTTCATGTAAAACACGGACTCTACTACTATATATACAATATTAATAGCTTGGAGACTCTACAATCCACTGTAGCTTTCTTCTGAATGTTCATCATCTGAGGATAATAATGTCTGTAGTGTCTGTCAAAAACCAGCGCCAGCATCTGTTCTTGAGATTAATTGAAAATCCCCTCATGGAGAGGCGTTTTTGAGCTGCCACAAAGCTTGAAATAGCCCAATTTAACGTTAGCAAATAAGGTGCCACATCTGTACACCAGCTGCATGGAACGAAGCGCCCGTTGAAGACTTAGACCAGCCCGGCCTCCCGGCACATCCCGTAGAACTGTCCCCGCTGTGCAATGAGGTTTGTTGGAGTGTCCATCTCAGAAATGAGGCCTCTGTCCATGACGATCACTCTGTGAAATGATAAAATAGGCGAAAAGACAGGTTATAAATCCAGCATTTTTTGTAAAACAACCACTATGACATATAAATATAGAATAGGGCTGTCAAAGTTGCACTATCAAGGCCTATGACTGGGCATGGGATTAATATTTAGTTATGTAGTTAGTGGATTGTATTGTTGCAAGTACAAGTTAATTTGCTTTTCAAAATAATGCTGTCTTTAATAAGACCACATTTTTACAAAAAACACGTTCCCTTATTCTGATTTAAAAAATGTTTTCTTTAAACATTTTCCCAAAGAATTACAAATGTAGATAACAGGTCCCCAGAATCCAAAATAATGCTTTCGATTGCATATTTTATCTGGTCAACAGTAAAAAAGGTACAAATGAAGTTAGGTTACAGTGATACATAAGAGATAATAAGAGCAAATCCTTACATTTGAAAAGCAAATATTTGGTATTTTCATTGATAAACAATATATATATATAATCCAAATTATAATTATTTTTTCTTTCTTTCAGGGAACTAAAAGCCCCAAAATATCGTATCGCATCGTATACCTCTAAGTCTATTGTATTGTACCTTGTGTAGTCCATGATAGTGTTGAGGCGGTGAGCAACGGTGAGTACAGTGCAGTCGTCAAACTGTGTGCGGATTGTGGACTGGATGAGCATGTCCATCTCCAGGTCGACAGCAGCTGTCGCCTCGTCCAAAACCAGGATCTTTGTTTTCCTCAGCAGGGCCCTGGCCAGGCACACGAGCTGGCGCTGACCCAGACTGCAGAGACAAAGAAGAGGGATAAATCACACATTAGATACAATGCAGCCTGGGGACAGACAATGCATAGTTGTTTATCTGCATTGCTTTAAGTCATATCTGTATACCTGAGGTTTTCTCCTCCCTCTGAGCATTCATGGTTGAGTTTGTCTGGCAGATTTGAGATAAAGTTTTTGAGGTGGGCGAGCTCCAGCGACCTCCACACCTCCTCATCTGTGTAGCTATCAAAGGGGTCGAGGTTCATCCGGAGCGAGCCTGAGAACAGCACAGGGTCCTGAAAGAAAGGAAAACAGATGTTATTCATCACCTGACTAGTAGCAGGATTATTACATTGTCTTATTCTGCATTGGCTACGTTTTGCAGCTTATGCAAACAGTTTATGTGATGAATGCCAGGGCTTAGTTTCTGTTATTACTGCTGTCCCACCTGAGGAATGATAGTAATGCGGGATCTGAGGTCATGCAGTCCGATGTCAGCAATGTTCACTCCATCTACAAAGATTTTTCCTTTCGCTGCCTCCAAGATCCGGAAGATTCCCAAGGCAAGTGAGGACTTCCCTGCTCCTGTCCGACCCACAATTCCAATCTGAAAAAGGACATTTAAAGTCAGTATTTTTGTTGGATGTATTTATATGATTTAAGCAACTTGTCTTCCAGAAATCAAGCCCGGTAATAATTGCAAACTGTTTTGATCATACGAAATGGCTCACCCTCTCTCTTTCGTGAACTTGCATGGTAATGCCCTTCAGAGCCAACTCAAGGCCTTTACGGTACTGCAGCCCGTAGTCCTGGAACTCAATAGCACCTCTCTGAGGCCAAGCCAGGGGCAAGGAGCTGCCTTCGATACTCCAACTTGCCTGAAAGAGAGAATAAGAGAGGGTGAGTAAAGAACAAAAGACCTCCTGTTGTAAGTTATTGGATTCAGTGTCCTCAGCAGTGATTTTTTATGTGTGCAGTAGGAACACTGACCTCTTTAGCAGTCTCCGCATACTCATTGACCCTCTCCACAGACACAATGTTGTTTTCCACATCAGTCCAGGATCTCACTATCCAACTCAAGATTCCAGTCACCTGAAATATCCAATGCAACAAGGTTTTACTTTAATTATGTTCTTGTCTGAGATGTGCATGCATTTGCTGGTTGAGCATTTCAACTTTTCCCATTTTAGCCTTCAAATTGCCACATTTAGCATGCAACTACAGAACAGTCCCACAATATCGTGCAGTGTCTGTTTTGATGTTAATAGGATAGTTTGGATTGTCTGAACTAGGATTGTACTTGATGATAGTCTTTATAATAGCAACAATAGACACCTCAAAAACTCTAAAGTCTCCCTTTAATAGATCGGGTATTGGGACACCTCCAGAAGTGTTGTGTGAGAATGTGTGTGAGCATGTCTGTTGGCAGGACTTCTTACCTGGAGGGAGTGTGACACAGCCAAACCGACTATTCCTGGGCTCAGGGTGCCTTTTCCCATCACAGAGAGAATGGCGGCAGCTAAGACCACACCATTACCAACAAACTCCAGATTGACTGCCAGCCACCTGTGGATGTTATATTGATTTAGCTTTTAGGAGGCAAGTACCAAAAAGTGTCCTCATTTCTGAAGCCAGGAGTCATTTTTAGCCATTTAACAAAAAGGAATCGCCACAACTCTTGGTGCTATGAGTCATCACCATCCCTTATGAACTGTGAACTGAGCGAATGGATGTATAAATGGATTGAAAGCACATGATAATGATCATATAACAACTCACCGAGTGGCCACAAATCGGGGGAAGTAGGAGGTCTGATTGAAGTCCACCCTCTCATTAGCCTGCTGAATGAACCTGGACTGCTCGCCGAAGGCCCGGATGACGCTGGCGCCCTGCACCGTCTCGTTGAAGTGCGTGTAGATGGGCGAGCGGCTCACAGCCTCCAGCCTCCGCAGCTGACAGGATGTGGCGACGTAGAAGCTCTGTAACCCACAGTGGAAAAGTAAAACACCAGCTTTAACGAATGAAACCAAAAGAGAGCGCTGAGGGATTTCCCATAATTCCTAGTGAATGTGTGCAACGTCTTTGTCAGCACGTAGGGAACAAAACACAAGTGTATGGCAAGATCAGCAGGGTCGGTTTGGGAGCCGGAGATTTCCAATAACACATTGTAATAGAAACCAGCTCTTGCTGACCCGCCTAAACATAATACTCTCAAAGAAATAATAAAGAATAAAGTCTTTGGTGTTTAAAAGTTGGGGGGGAACGTACCTGGACAAAGGCGTAAAGGAAAGCGAGGGGCAGGATGATCACGGCCGCAAAGGGTGTCGCCATCATCACAATGATGCAGACTTCCATGAGTTTAAAAACGTAGCTCAGCATCATCTTCAAGCCTTCTGGAACCATGCAGTCGATGGCGTCGATCTCTTTGGAAAAGCGGTTGAGTAGGTTGCCACTGGGCGTGCACTCGAAGAAAGACATTGGAGAGTGCAGCACGTTGATCAGCAGGTCCATATGCAAGTGGCGGGAGGCGATGATACCACAGATGGAGATAGCGACAGTTGTCCCAAAGATCGCAATACCTGAAAAAAGGGGAAAGATGTTTTATCAAATCATTTGAGGATTAACAAACAAATGTCAACTGTTCACAGACAGTTTGCCAAGGAGGATTAATTCAACTGACCTTGCACAAAACCCAGCGCACCAAACACGGTCAGCTTGAGGTCCGTATCCGTCTGGGTGCCGTTAACAATCGGGTCATCAGCCCACATGCTCAGCCAGTAGTTGTAGGCCAGTGAGGCGCCTTGCTGAAAAGCATACAGGAAGACGATGGGGATGATGCTGACCAAGCCGATGGTCTTGAAGTACTTCTTGTACATCGCCAACCTCACCTGTTATAGAACAACACAACATGAACCAGTCAATTTCAAGGAATGATTTAGTAATGTATTTTTGGGCAATAAAGTCCAATTTCATACCATAAGTGTTGAAGTCAAAAGCAAAGTTCAGACTTACCCTTCCAGTGTTGGCCTTATCAGCTTTAGTGAGCTTGCCCAAGTCCTCTGGTACTTGTTCTTCGTCTGTTTCAGACACAGGCTCCATGTTCTGCAGGTTTGTATTCGTGGTGTCACCCCTGGAGGACACAAAAACCCAGAGGTCAGTTTTGTAAACAAGTAGCTCGCAAAGCCAAACACTTTTATATGATTTCCAATTGTTAACGTACCCAATAAGTTGCTCCTGTGACAGATCTCTGGAGAATGGCATAGAGTCGACCATGCTGAGACGAGCATTGGACCTCCTGGAACCAGCTGTGAAAAAGGGATTTTTGTTTTTAGGTTTTTATTGTGATTATTCATTTTTGAATGATGTTTGCTGAACATTAGCCAATGATCTCATATTTGTCTGTCAGCAAGATAACGGAATAATTATATGGGCTTATGTTATTAAAATGGGATGGTTTAACATGGGGCAAACAAGAATGGTTTATATCTTGGAGTGCACAAGTACAAAACATTTGTTACCAACTCCTGTGGGATCACCCAAGCAGCATGTGAATGCACCACTGGATTTGGCGCCATTCTAGTTTAACATAATTGTTCTCACCTCTCTGTATGGCGCTCTCTTTTCGCTCCGTGTTGGCGAATGTGTGAATGAAGTCGGCGAAGGCGCCATGGCGGCTGAGGAGCTCCTGGTAGGAGCCGCTCTCTGTGATTTCTCCATCTACCAGAACAAGGATGAGGTCAGCCTGCGGCAGGAAGCTCATCCCATGGGTCACTAGAATGCGGGTCTGTATAGCCAGCAAAAAATATCATGTTAGCTCAACCCAATACCAAATTAAGGCTTTCTTCAAAAAGAAAAGTGCCAGCAAAGTGGTGGTTTCCATATTATGATAATAATAGCGCATGCCGCATGCTTGTAAGTGGATTAAGGGTTGTAAAACTATGTTTTGGCTCTTTGCAGCTGAGTTGCATTTGGTTTTTATTACATAAATTACCTTGTCCCTAAGGACTCCCTTTGGTCCAACGACTTTGTCAAAGATGTGTTGACCGACATGTGCATCAACAGCAGACAGAGGATCATCCATTAGATATACATCGGACTTTCTGTAGACGGCCCGAGCCAGGCTCACTCTCTGCTTCTGCCCACCGGAGAGGTTCAATCCCTGCGTAGACAGAATCATTCAAAAGTTTCAATATATATATATATATATATATAATAATATACTCAGAGGATTGAGAGACAAGAAAGAAAATCATACAATTTACATTTATCCCTTTTTGTACCTTTTCCCCAATTTCTGTAGCATCTCCAGCAGGTAGGATTTCTAGATCTGGCAGCAGTGCGCAGGCCTCCAGCACTCGGTGGTACCACGTCTTCATTTTTTCACGGCCAAATATGATGTTGTCTTGGACTGTGGCATTCTGGATCCAGGCCTGTTGGGGCACATACGCCAGGGAGCCCTGTGAAGACAGATATCCAAACAGAGACTGTCAGTATTTATTAAATGATGAAGCCCACAACTAAGAATAGAACTTGCTCTTGGAAAAGAAGCTCAGCACCTTAACACTGACATGACCGCTCCTTTTCTCTGTTTCACCAAGCATGGCAGACAACAAGGAGGACTTTCCACTGCCCACATGTCCAACCACAGCAACGAGGGAACCTCGTGGCACATGGATACTGATCCTGTGAACAAAGAAAGGAAGTGTCCTGTAAGTCTATCTTTGTTTTTCTTGTAAGTTAACTATTCTTTTATGTGTAATTCATACCTTTTAAGACATGGAGGGCCCTCTGCAGACCAACTAAAGGTGCCGTTTTCTATCACCACGTCTTCACCATCTAAACAAAAAAGAAGGGTTGAACAAAAACAGCAAACCCTGCAATAAACACTGAAGACAGGATAGGTCCTTTCAACCTGAGCCACAAACAAACTTTCAAAACAAAATTCCACTTTGAAGTTACTCGTCAGATTACAGCCTGGGCATAATTACAAGTGAATTTGCTTAATCATTCAAATTACAGAGCTGTTGCTTTTTCAAGAGCTGTTTTAGGAAGTGTTGACAGGTTACAGACAGAGGATTGCCTATTGCTATTTTTCTTTTTTATTCCTCTATGAATCATATGTCTGATTTACGTTCAACCGCTAAATGGGAACATCCTATAATTACCCTGTCTGACAGTCAGCCAGGGACCCAGGAAGTGACAGCGAATATGATCCATACAAGGCTGTGGTACTCCAAAGATATAAACAACTAAATCCAGTGGTTGAATTATATTGATTATGACAGTGTAGAAATTAAGGCAGTTGTGGGGAACAAATTGGTGAAATTAAACAGTGCAGAAGAGTAGTTTATTCATTGAGTGTTAAGGTTTATACATCGGTGGTGTTCTTACCAGAGGTTGATGGAGCTTTTGAGACGTTTTCCACCTTCAGTTCCTCAGAGCACAGGTACTTCCCCAGACGCCTCAGTGAAACCATAGCCTGAAACAGAGTCAGTGGTTTTTTAACTCCATCATATCAAACCCATAACATATACCTCATCAGGCACCATAGATGGAGAGAAACATCTGAGCGCAATCAACAGTTATAAAATGAAACGTCGCCTACCTGCATCGTCGTGCTTATAGCGAATGGAAGCTGGCTGAGCGGGGTCTTCAGGATGTTGATCAGCGCCATTGAGACAAAAACTTTCTGTGCATCCAGCACATTCCTGTCATCGAGCGTCACATACACTCCGAACATGGAAAAGGCAATCTTTCGGGAGAAAAAGATGGTAAATGTAAACTTTTACACAACTTGTTTTATCTCTAGAGACATTCCTAATATAAATGCAGATCTTGATGAGGGTTTTAATTTGTGATACGGGTCACATGCATTAAATCTACTCATAAAGTTGTCCAATACGGTTTTATTAATTGGTTCCATAACGGATTAATTGTTTGGTCCCTTGAATGCAAAACAATTGTGAGTCTAGAGGTATGTCTTTATATATCTTGTTTTAACAGTTTTAAACCCAAAGATATATATTTTAAAATGATATAAAATCTGGAAAAGCCAGAAATCACCTTAATTGAGAGGCGGGAAATAGCATTTTAGCAAGTTTGACAATTATTCGATAATCAAAATAGTTGGTCTGTTGATCAACTAATGATTTTTTTTAAATCCTTTGAAGCTCTTAACAATATCAGTTTGAGATCTGTTTTTAGATGTTTTATTGGTAGCTCCTTGGAATTGTGCTCTTACCAGAAAAGAAGAGGAGTTAAAGGATGCAATGGAGATGGAATAAAGGATCTGAGATTTCTTCAGGGCTTGGAGCTCTTTTTCTCTGTGGCCCAAAACCTTCTCCAGGAAGGCCTTCTCCCAGGCGTAGAACTTCAGGATCTTTATTCCATTCAGGATCTCATTCATCAGTCTGATGCGGCCGTCCATGCACTTCATCTGGATCTCCTGTGGACCAGACACAAAGGTTTTTTATTAAAATATACAACCCAAAGCTGAAACTGCAGCACAGTAGAAAGACAATTACCAGACCAAAGCAAATACATGCATTTGTGAACATGGGTTTGTCTGCGCTCGTTACAGCTGTAGTAGTATTCCTGAACATCTTAAAACTGGTTTAATTCAGTAGGAATTTATTGCTTGTAACTTTTTTGTGATTTTTACGACAAGGAAACAACAAAGGGTCAGGAATGCGGTCACTGCATTCAAGACTCAGTTCGATTAAATTGGCATAAAATGGACAGAACCCTCTGTTGTTTTTCCAAAGAAATTAAAAAATATGTTTTCCAACTGCCCACCCTTTCCTTTCATTGTTTTTCAAGCACTTTATATGGGTCAGACATCAAAAGGACAAGAGAGAATGTACCATCCAGGCCAAACTCCCACGCGGCTCTTCAGCCACTATCTAAACCAGCTGTGGCATCCCTGACCCAACATGCCAGATGTGGGGGCTACTGTGGGGGAAGTGTAAAATACTCCTACAACTGCTTTTACCTGGAGCTTGCTTCTTTTCTTCGCTATGAACCCGTTGAGTGGAAAAATGAGAATGACAGTGGCGATTCCTGCGAGAGCCGATGGGCCGAGATGCTGAAAAAAAACAAAGAATATAAAGATGTCAAAGCCCCTTTTTAAGTTAAAATACAGTACGAATGAGTCATTGTGAAACATTTTGACATACCTGCCAAAGGAAGAAAAGACAAAGAGCAATCTCAATAGGAGCCAGCCAGACAGCGTTGAAGTAAACCACAAAGTCCATGAGCTTCTGAGTGTCAGCCGAAACCAGATTCACAATCTCGCCCACGGTGCAAGTCCTCCTGGCAGCGCTGTTTATCACCAAAGACTGGATTGTCAACAACAGAGACAAAGACATTTTAACCTTCAGTTGTCCACTATATATTCACGCCCTCGAAAAGACCTCAGACTATCATTGATCTTAGAGACTGCTTTTGTCGTTGATATTTAAGGTGTAATTTATGTGGCGCTAAGAGGTCAGCGGCTACTTGTCCGCAGATAAACCCACCTTCCTGTAAACCAATCCCATGACAGCGGTCTTCACCCTCATTCCCACTGTGAAGCAAGTGTACATGTACTGATGGCTGAAGAGGGACTGGAGACAGGACAGCAGGAACATTAGAGTGGCGTAGAAGTAGCCTTTCCACAGTGGAGCATCTTCGTCTCTCATGAAATCCAGAAGAAGACTGTGGAGGAAGAAATTATGAGGATGATTACACACTTTCAGATTTGATGTAGTGCTACCATAACCCTTTTCCTATGTACGATTTCCCCTGGAAAGTAGTGAATGAAACCAATCAAAGCAGACAGCCCTGTCAACATGATTTTTTTAACTGCGTTTTTTCATTCAATGTGGTGTTATATTACTTTCATTGTCTGCCTTAAACCAGTGGCTGCTGGCCGACGGTTCCACAGAAAGTAGCTTGGGTTGCACAACAGTGGTCAGCCTGCGGCCAGCTGCCCTCACACTTGGCCAGTGGCTCACTTATTGTGGTCCGACAGCATTTCTGCCATTTAGAGCCTCCTCTTCCTCTCGGCCTGCCGTCCTTGCTGGAACACAGAGGACTGTTGTCCCGACTACTTTTCCTGCTCACAGCTCCATGACCGTAATTAACACTTCCACTGCTGCTGTGCTGTGCTGTGCTGTGCATCAACAACAACATTCCAGTCTGGCTAGTGGGATTTGGTTAGCCATGACCTTCTTTTTCATTGCAGCCAGCTTCTGTTGTCGTGTGGTTGTCTGAGTCTCAAATTATTGAAAAATAAGACGATGAAGGTGATATCTTAGGTGCTTTAGAGTTTTTACACTGTTACACTATCTGTCTATTTAAAATGTGGTATTTTCCTACAATCTGCCAAACCCATGTTTCTTGAAATAATGGCAGGAAAATATGATCTCTTTCACTTAAATTGCTTAATTAAATTGGATGATTCTACCCCCCAAAACACAATAAAAACCTATTTTTACTCCTGGGCTGCAGTCCATTCAGGTAATTTGAGCTTGAACGGAGGTTTAGAAATATGGCTGCAACATCCCTTAATACAGTCCACACAATGCCATTTGGTCTGTGGGACTCACTACTAAATATATAATTGAAAAACTCAATAACAACATCTATTTAAAAAAAACGACATGGTTACTTTGAACTCAAACCGTTTTATGAGCAGTTTCTTTAAGAACTACTTGTTATCAAAACACAACTGCCTGATTTATATTTTCAGGCGGAAGAAACAGACTATAAACATTTGGGATTTTATAAAATCTTGTTGTTTTGGGTGCTGTGTGCACCACAAACCAAATACCCTTGAGCTGTGGGGTAGCCTACCGGATTAATGTACCTAATAACTCCTAAAATTGGCAGCTTTTATTTGCAAGATTCGCTGATGATGAGAGCAAAATTAAGATATTGGGTCACTCTTACCTGAGCACCTGGGGGATGGCGAACATGAACACATCGTGGAATATGATGCACAGTGTGCCGGTCAGAAAGTATGGGCCGAAATTGCGTGCCAGCGTCCTGAGCAGGAAGAAACCAGAGCTCTGCTCCTTCTGCAGCTTCCGGAGGAGCTGCGCCTGGTCCGGCAGTCTGCTCCCCAGCGCCACACCCAACGCTAAAGCCTTCTCCTGCCTGCCAGAGAGAGAGAAAGCCCGTTACAGACAACACATCTGTTTCAGAGATGCCCGAAATTATGCTGGCGCCTTTCAAGCTTTTACTGTAAAACAGACTGTAAAAAAACCCTGTTGTTAATCATACCATCACCAACGGACTCAAGAATTCACCAGCAGTAAAAAGCATTATTCACTGACTGATTATTGTACTTAACAAGGGATCTTCAAAGCACAGGATCATGTTAACAAGCTTTGACACATGGCTCTTGCCCTGACATTATGCTGCTGCATGTCCTCAAGGGACTCCTTTGGACCTATTTCTGGCCCAAAATGCCTCTGTTGATGAGTTGTCCCGAATGTCAATTTACCGCAATCATGACAAGGCATGCTTTGCTCGGGTCATTAATTCAGCCAGCACCATGCTGACTGTTGACCACATTGCAATAAAATGAAATGGATTCTTTGGCTGTTAAGCTGTAACAATAGAGAGACAACTGAGAGACACGTTATGTTGGATCACATGCGTGGGGCAAAATAACCATATGAGCCTGAGGAAACAGAAAGAACACAGTAGGACAAGTCGGGCTGAGAAAGATAATATATGGATTTCGTGATTTGAAACTAGATATGGTCTTAGATTTTGGATATTGTAATGTAGCATACATTTATTTTCCTGGTTTTAAAGCCTGCATTACAATAAATGGATGGAATTCTTCCAAATTCACGAGAGAGTTCCAGCTGTTTTAGTTTTATGACCAACATTTCTGTAAAACATGTCTCTTCTTTACTTTCGTGTTTTTTGCTAATTAGGAAATGTTAGCATGCTTATTCGTTAAACTAAGCGTGTTAGCTTTGTCATTGTGAGCCATGAAGCTCAAAAAGAACAGCATAAAGCGTTGCAGACAGAGCCCTGTTCATTGTAATGAAGGTTGCTAGGTGGTGCATGAAGCCAAACAAATTTGACGGACTAGTATAAAAATACCCGGAGCCAACGGTGATTTACTTTTTACAATACCAAATTACCAGGGTACCCTTTAATCAGCCTGAACTGTATCAACAGGCGTTCTCACTTTTGAAGTTCGGCACATTCATCCGTCCAGTTCTCTTCCAGCTCAGAGATGATCTTGCGCGATGTGTCTTCCTCCCTCAGCGTCCACAGGTCCTCTCCTGCCAGCGGGGTGCGATATCCTTTCACAACAAGCCTGAAGAGGATGATTCATGCACGTGATCGTCAACAAAACACACATATTATTGTAAACAAGAGCAAACTGTCACTATAGTGAGTCAGCCGAAGCCAAAAAATTAGTGGGTTCTGAAGAACCATCTTACCCAGTGAACCACCAGAAGAGAATCTTTGAGAGGAAAGAGGCATCTTGCACGGGACAGGGATTCTGCAACAGATTAAAGACCAGACTGTTGTTTTCGTAATAAATCTGCCACCACTTTAAGGCTTTAAAGACGTACACACAGTCAGTTGATGGTTCAATGCTGCACTTGTGAGGAGTGTGTTAAAGAAGGCTAATGTGTGCAAACAGCCCTGGACAGTAAGGTGGTCCATTGTGGGGGGAGCAGAGGCCATGAACTCCCACAAAACAGAATAAATAGATTTCAGTGTTAGCACAGGGTGAAAATGACGTCCTAAGGTCTAGCGTAGGCATAGCGGAAATCTGTCATCATGCTAAAACTGTCCAACACGTGGATACACACACACACACACACACACACACACACACACACACACACACACACACACACACACACACACACACACACACACCCCTCATAACAAGCCAAAGCGGTGAAGTGAGAGTGGAAGGAAGGAGGGAGGGTAATCGCATCGTTTCCTCCAAAAGGTAAAAATGTCTTGACAACAAAAGTTGAAAACCACAAGATAGCTGTTCAGGCCTTCCCCCGGATGTTGGATTGGAGTGGAGTTTTTATGAAGAAAGTGGGATACATTCTCCTCTGCTTACCTTTTGAAATGTGTTTTTTCCCTCTGGAGGCTGGTCAGCAAAACAGCACAGGAAGAGCTGGGCCAGTTGGATTGTGAAATAGGAGAAAAAGGCGAGGTATCGTACGATATCAGATGCAATGCCCTGTGGAATAGGAAAGCACAGATTAAAGAGGCTGCTGTAGGGCTGAAAGTGCTTCAGGCAGAGTTCCTTGAGTTTATGGTCTCAAGTTGTAAGAAAGTTTTTCTATGTTTATTCTAGGGACACAAAATGAATTGGCTTTGTGGCTGTGCTCATGCCACAGAAAAATAACATTTATATTAAATCAAGATATAGGGACTTCAACAGCATCCAAATGTATGCCTTTCAACCTAAACTAACAAATCAAACAACATCCTGTGGATTACAGCGTCATTTATCTCCGCTGTGGTTTGTATGCAGTTTCACAACAACACAAAAATTCATTACATGACTTCCCATGCTTACACATAGTATAGCAGAGGATATGGTTTATACACCAAAAACACAGACACAATAAAGAGTATTTTTGACCTTTAAGCTAAATCAAGACTGAAACCTAAAGTCTTTAATGGTGCACTTTATATAAATGAAGCGCTAGTTACAGCTGCCCTTCAGTCACGCTAAGAGCCCGTATCTGTAAATAGGGAGATTGTGGTTTCACAAACCAGCACCCTTACATTCAGTCAAGGGAACAGCTGCAATATTAACCACTCAAGAGACTTTTGTGAAATGTAGGACTTACATGTTATTCTTGACATACAGAAACTGTGGGGTTTGGCAGAGGCATTTTTTACTGGGTGAAGGGCATTGCCAGAGCCTGTCTGTTGCGCAGCAGAGTGGCTAAGCATTAAAGTCAGAGCCATGGTAAACAGTAAAATTACTTTTTCAGAAGAAAAGTGTGGAGCTTTATTGAGAAAGGTGATACGACGGGGCCAAATGACAGGGTCAGGATGGTCGGAGAGCGGGCGGGTAAAAATGTATGTCAAGTGAATAAGAATGGCCAAAGGTCCACAAACATGAACTCAGTCAACTACAGCCAATTAAGCTGCAATGTGAATAACATACTTTCTTCATTCATATTTAAAATAATTTGCCATTACAATGCGTAACACAGCAGATAGAGAACTGTGCAGCACACTTCTGTTCTTGTGACATCTATCTAAGAAAATAATATATATTTTTAATTAGCTTGATTACTAGACAAAAAAACATTTCAGCATCTGTAGTTAAACATTTTACAAGATATACTAATTGTGTTCGATTGAATTATTAAGGACATTTTAAGCAAAATGTCGGCAAAATTGAGATGCTAATTAGGCCTTCTAATTCGCCAGTAAACCAAGCAGCCTACAATAAGTTAAAGTTGCAAACCAGTCACCCTTGCCATCTAAGTGCTGAACAAGGGTAAGTTCAGCTAGATTTGGCCATGTTTTATGGTGTTTGGAGATTAACTTGAAAATCACGAAAGCCACCAATAGCAGCAACAGATGATTAGTCTTGTTGGTTAAATGTAGGATACTTCAGCACTTGGCAAAGGAGTTTCCATATCCAATTAGCAATTATCAACTATTTTTTCGTCAAAGGCAAAAGACACTTTAAATGGGCATTTGAGGAAAGGGTTGTCAAATATAATATGAAAAACAGTAGCCCAGAGACAGGAAATAGGGGAAACAGCAAGCCTGGCTTTTTACAAAGATAACAACATCCTTAAACTAGCACTCTGCAAAAACACGAACTGTTGTTTTCACTCTTAACGTATGTTTAAGTCCTTGTGCTAAATTTGGCTAATTAGCTTATTTAGCTAGCAGTTGCTTTCTAAATCTCAGTCATATAAACTTCTTGTTAATAAGTGGATTTACTAACTCCATCTTAACTTTGATTATATCTTCTGTTAGAAGCATACTTTTGAATTTCAGTAGCGTTCCCTCCTATGACCAGGCAAAATGTGATGGTAATGATGATATTTTAATCTTTAGAGAAGTTGATTAACACAACACATGTGCCTATGAATTTGGTTAATCCATACAATTTATGTTGGAGGAATGTATGGGTGTCTTGTGTTTGAATGAAATTAAAACATCTGTGTCTAAATTGTAAATGAACTCGCATTATGTGTGGATGCATAGATTTCCATCTGGCTGTGTTTACAGCAGTGTAGGCCCATAAACACAGCGCTGACGTTCCTCTGGTCTGACCCTGGGCTGCCATGTCTCACCAGCATTTATCCCAGAGCCTTCATTACTCTCCCCCAAGCAGTGTGGGAATGTCACATTGGGGACGATAAAACAGAAATATGGATGTGAGTGTGTTTGTGTGTTTTTTATAGAAATGCAAATGCGCCTGCCCCACGAATGCTTAAATAGAAACGTACCCCATATAGGCTACAACAATGATTGCAGTGTCTGACACGAGACACAGGAAGAAAAGACACTTAAACACACACAGGCTTGACCAGAATTGGCAGTGTCATCCTCCAACACTTGGTTAACTTTGGGTTACCTTGGTTGAAATTGGGGGATGAGACAAACTCTTTGCTGACACAGGTTATATCTCAAGCTGTGCTGCTGGAGTCTTGTGTCTAGACTACTTGTGGGAGTAGACCTGATTAGATATGCCTGCATGGTGTTTGGACACTGCAAGTTCACTGAGTTCAAACCTGACAAACACATTGAATTGCCCTTCATTTTAAACTTTGGCTTTTTTCTTGATGCTTGAAATATTGATATTGACGGTATTTCTATTAAAGATGTAGTGGTACTATTCCATATGATTTGATAGGCCACACCAAACACATACCTCGTCCATAGCCAGCTGGATCTTCGCCCTGAGAGGCACCAGGGAACAGATAACAGCCAAGACCCAGAACAGGAAGAGGAATATAGAGGAACGGCAGCCTCTTATTCTTTCCAACTGGATGATGCATAAGGCCAAGATCTAGAGAGGGACAGAGACAGAAAGAGTAATTGTTTGAATTCACATGAGTGGATCTGACAGCAAACGAGAGGAAACAACTTAATCCCCAAGACAGAAAGCGCTCAGATCTGTGATGCCACATTTTAGAAAAGCCTGAAGCAACTCAACATGGACAAGAATATGGTTCATTTGAAACTACGAGTTGCCTTTTTGGATTTACATGGCAGGGAGATTAATTGTGTTATTACTATAAGGTCTCAATTTCAAACCAAGTGGTCTTGGTGAATTTCTTTTTACTTAATCTGTGGGAAAACATTTTTTTAAGACTGCCATTCAGCACTACTTCATTCAGTTGGAGGAAATAAAGTCCTCTCCCTCCTGTATTAACTGTGGGTATCAGTGCCAATGTTTCCATCACAGCAGAGGGTGTAATGAGATTGAGTCTGATCTAATGCAGCCAATGGTGGTTTTGAAAAAGAACTTGAGTTTCTGGGATTTCCCTGGCCGCAGGCGCAGCTGTGATCTGACTGACTACCGCTTATAAATGACACATGTATGGTATGCCGCATGCCCAGCACTCACCGCTTTATGTTATTATATACTTTCCTTTAAAAAAGTTCTCAATGCTGTGATGTTTTTTCAAAAGTTGGCCTGATTCAGTGCTTGGATACGGCCGTCTGCCTGTCCTCAGGAGTCATGTGTCTGCTGTGAACCAGCAATTGGTTCCTCTCTGCACGTTTGCCAAGTGAGACGTCACTTTATCATGCCAGCTCATCACCAAATTTTGGGAAAGCTGGTTTAGGTTTCCATAATGACTACAACATTGGTAACTTTGGGATCAGCCACAATACTGTTATAAACTATAGCTGCCTGTTATTTCTGTAAGTTTTCCCAACAACAACCTTATACACTTCATGTGAGATGTGTACAGATTTCTGTGTGGTAGCCAAGAGATTGAACATCTTTATGTGCTTAAGTGGAAACAAACAAACAACATAAAGACTTCTCATTTACTTGCTGTGTTGACTCACTGATTTTTTCATTCTTTTGTTCATTCATTTTCTCTACACAGTCTATTGAAGGATGAGTACAGAAAGATAGGCACTTACAAACATACCTATGGGGAATTTAGAGTCTCCAGTCCACCTGACTGGACGTTGGAGCCAAAAGGCACACAGGGACAACGTACCAACTCAAAGTCATGTGAAAGTCCAAGAAATTAAAGTGTTTTGGGGTGAATACCTTTCAAAGTGCACATGGTCAATCTGATCCGCATTTAAACCAAATAACACCACTTTATGTTCCAATTGTACATTGATTGTCCCCCCAAGTGTTGATCAACCTAACTCTCCCATGGGATTGCATGATCCCATGGGATGTATCAGTCAGCAGCAGAAAGCCCATGGTAAGAACTTGATGTTCTCAACTGCTGGTACTTAAAGAGCTATACTGATGTGGCTGAGGCTGCATCAGCCCCATCCAACCTTAACATTAGTGGGGAATTGTAAAGCTGACCTTGGGTCAGCATTTGAGGGCAAGGACCCTCCTATTCCTAGCCTTCCGCTGTGACTTGCCATACTGCTGCAAACCATCAGCCCATCTGTTTGTAGAAGTCAGTGGGTGGAACTAAGTCCATCACCGAGCCCAAATCAAAAACCCTACCTTATAATTATACAGGAAGTGTGCAGCGCTTTGGGAAGGAATTGGAATTTACATCATGGTATTGCTGATTATAGTCAATGTCATGTGTGTGCTTTTCATCAATAGTGACCACAACTCGTTCGTGGGCTGCAAACTGTTCCTATACATTAAGTTGAGTTTAAGGGTACAAAACAAGTTGGTCGGAGAAACAAGAGCACAGTGTTCTAGTCCTGTACCCGGGGAGCGGGTGGTGGTGGATGGCTACAATCAAGAAAATTATATCCTTTAATAAAGATAGGTCTGGCAACTCCATTTAAAGATTGGTGACAAGCTCTTCATCTGATTTAGTGGATGTTTGTTTGTCTGATACATTTTATCCTCAAAATAAATGACCTTCATTTGAAATATGTATCTCATATCTGGGAATACAAGAGACGTCTCAGTGTATTTTGACCAAAACACGTGCTGCTATTTACTCAGAAGTCTGAAAAGACCACAGATGACCAAGGGTGTCTGACTTGGAGACTGTGCAGGACCTGTATAAGGCTGCAGAGAGAGAGGAAGCTTTGGGAGTAAGAGTACATGATAATTTCAGTATTAGAGGCTCACTGGGTTACTACACCATGCCTTCCTTTCTGGACTCAGCACCCTTGTATGGCATTGTACCATCTTACATCACTCCTGCTGAGGGTAAACAGCATTTTAAACTTGCCATGCCACCCATGTTGCCAGCTGCACCCCTCTTCTGTTTGCTGCTACGTACTCATCAGTCAAGTATAATTTAAAATCTGCAGAAAATGAGTGGGATCAATGTTCTGAGAAACATTTTGGGTTGTTTCCATCAACACTGTCCACTGAAACAATTCTCTGATTGCATACCAGCCCTTGTTTTATATAAATAATGTTCTGTTGCCCACCCTACATGCTACCCTGATCCAGGTAGGGAGGGCATTAAACAGGCATTGCCATTTAGATTTGAAATGTTTGGATGAAAAGAGTCAAACAACATTTTTAACTGTAAGGGCATTCGGAAAGCGTAGACCTCCGCCAAGTGCATTTCCTTAAAGGAAGAAATCATGGCTGTATACGCCCTGTGATTTGAATCCACACCAACATTTGATTGGTTCTTCCCTCGCCCATGTTACACCCTACACCCAAGTTAGATGGAAATCAGACTAGTAGCTTTTTGTAATGCTGACAAAAAGTTAAAAAAAAAAAAAAATGAAAAGCAAGAAAATTAAGAATAAAGATCTCAGTCTAAAGATATCTAGACTGCATAGCTCTGTGCAGGTCTTGCACTAATTTGGATCTAAACATTTGAGTAGTTTGAGTAGTTTCTCTTCAGACCTGAGAAAAGATAATCAATGTGCAATATGGATTCTGGGCATGGCTTTGTTTATTCAAAACTTCAGGTTTTCTTATTTCAGGGTAAGGTTGGATGAATGTTTCGTCCATTATCTTTTCTTCCTTTCCTGCATTGCAATTAAACACGTCCGACCATACTGTAAATACAGTCTTGGGCAGAACAATGGCGCTAAAAAAAAAAAAAAGCTGGCGTCAAAACTTCCAGTCCAACAGCACACCTGTAGCCTATATAAAGACGGAACCTTTCTATGTAATTAGGTTTAACATAGGCTGCAATTGTGTTTCGTCACCTCTGTTGTGTTCGGTGGTTTTTTGTTTTTTTTATGGGTGAACAGAAAGTTTGGCAGGGATTCAAATGAGCTTGATTTGAAGCACATGATTAGTCAATGCACTGCCACCACTGAATATGTGCATGCAACAACATGATTGAATAAGCAGCAAGAAAACCTTTGATTCAATAAACTTAAATAGACTAACACTGGCCATCCTGCTGAAGTTCATGAGAAAGTAAATCCTCACAGTTTACCACTGCTATGACAGAAATGGAGGGAAAACATCATAGTATACTTTGGAAAATAATAACAATGTTTTCTTTAGGACATATGGTCTCTCATTTGCACAGCACCTACCGATCACATTTTTCATTTATTGAAACTTTGCATGTACGTATGTATGCCGATTTCACCTCAAGCAGTAGCTGATGTCACTATGTATCTGCGCCCTGATGAGTGATGGTCAAATACTGGCGGAGTTTACAGGGCAATGTAATATTTGCAATGCCTGCAACACTATAAATCTAACCTTGGATATGCATCTTTGCACCTGGGTGTCTTGCCAACAAACTTTACATACATAGGCTTTATATCCTTTCATTTGCCTGCACATCGACATGTGAGACAGGCGGAAATATTCCCCAAACTCCTCTGTAACCCAGAGCAACGCAGGAGGGACAATAGATGTGTGATTTCAGCCACAAATAATAAGTCAATAAGCTTTTTCCATTAACAAACCTCGGATGCACTGAGAGTCTGTTAAACTAATGCATAATTAAATTATTCCTTGGCAAACCTGATCAGGGATAACCCACTAATGAGTTCCATTTGCTAATTAAAATATGTTTTAATTGCTTTAAAGTTACAAGCTATTTTAACTTTTTACTGACCCGTGAACAGTTTTACAACGCTTATAAGTTCTTCTATAGGACTTATTTTCATCTATTAATCACCTTGTGTTACCTTGAATTCTGTGTACTCAACAGTAAGGTTTAGTGACAATACATGTGTTTGGATGGAAGTGAGCATATCACTGGCTGAATTACACTTCTGCTGTGACAGTTTTTAAACAAATTCTTCTTCTCTGTTTTCTGATTCTTTCCCTGCAAAGACATTTTAGAAAAACAAGACTTTCTTCAAGAATTCAATATTCAACTGTGGGATCATTAACTGTATTCAATTAAGGCAACATGCTTTGAGGAGATGACATTTGATTTCAATATTAATCGCTTTGCAGTATTAAGTATAGCAGTTAGTGTAAAATCAGATAAGAGACACGGTATTTACCACAGTCAGGCTGCGTATGATGGGGCTGAGGAGGAAGACCATGTGCTGCTGGATCTCCTGGCTCCTCTCCAGCAGGATGTAGAAGAACTCAACGAAGCCAAAGGATGCCAACAGGAAACCCAACACCTGAACACGGATGGATGGAGAAACTTTACAGTGACCTTTGCCAACATTTATTTTTGATACTGGGGATCTTGTTGAGAGAAACGAATAAAAAAATCTGGCCAAATTATTTGCGAAGTCTCACCATCTTGGAGCTGCATAGGCAGGACGTTCGGATGCGACCGTGGTCATAGCAGTAGAGATAAAGGCAGTAGAAAGGGGCCAGCAACCACAGATAGATACAGGGGACCCACACCAATACTGTGTTCTGGAAACACTGGGTCAGGTCCGGGTTGGCTGTGTACCACGTACGGTTCCAGTCCTACAACAGAGAGAAAGGACAGAAGTTCGACATCAAGGGAATATGCTTAAGAGGTCAAACTGTGAGTTTATATCCATCATCTGACAAGACAGAGTATGTGAGAGCCAAAACCAGAGAACTCAGACTTGGTGCGCATCCTACGTTTCATCCATCAAGGCAGTGGAGAGTGAAACCACAGCAAGTCACAGTCTGCGCCCAATCCTGAAAGAGTGTGAGGTGGAGGAGGCCTTCTTTTGCTCAGAAAGCTGAGTCAGTTTGGGTTTTCTTTTCTCACCACGCAATGTAAGATGTCAACTCATTAAAAAGCTAGGTTAACGATTATACTAATAATGAAGCCGATAAACAATAAAAGTCCTGGCATCATAGCTGTGTTGACCAAATTCTGCCAGGAGTTTGAGATTATGTAACAGGATAGGTTGTCTCTTGTACAGGAAATACATATAAAGGGAGCTAAGTGGCTTGTTGTTGTCTTGCTACCCTTGTTTATCACCCCTCTGGCCTAATGAGGGGCAGGGTGTCTGGCTGTGCTAACAAGGCTGCCCTGCGGAGTCACCACAGGAAGTGGGTTAAGGCTTCTCGGCTGGTAGACTCCCAACTGGGATTAGGGACGGAGGCCGCAATTGGTGGCAGCTGCAGAGTCGTTATCTAATGCAGCCCTGCGGGTGAACCATGTGGGGCAACGCAGTACTGCTGCTCGAGGGGGGTGGTGTCCCTGCATGACCAGTTATTAATTCAAGTTTACGATAAATCACGACTAATTCCCACCTATGGAGCCACAAGGGTCTGAATCACAGTCTGACTGCCTGTTCACATCAGAGGTGGCCCACACATCTTTGCCATGCACATACATTCCCACATGGCTTAATCTTTATAGATGATGCATTTAAGGTTCTGTAAACAACACAGCATTTCATATACTAGTGGTCTGTTTGAGCACCTATGTATCAAAATCCAGTGATAAATCTCTAGAGGCACTCCGTGGGAGGCTATTTTCGCAGACCCTTCTGACTCCTGCGGTCTGTGGCAGGCTGATAAACAGAACCCTTTTATGTAAGGACTGCAACTTGTCAAATGCTCTCCAGGCCCTTTCTTGTGTATGTTGCCTATACTCATCCTGTTTCTCACCCTTAGGTGAAGTAGTTGCAGTTAACTTGTGGCCAACAGTTTGGCTATTTTTCACCGGAGAAACACAGTGATGTGAAAACAGTCGAGACTTTTGCTATGCTGCAAATCTGCTGAATGTCCCCTTTTTATATTTTCTAGACTTGGTAGAGCAACTCGGTGGCTCATAATGAGTTAAATAAATTCAACCATGCAATGGCTTGTGAGCAAAAAATAATCATGTACCTAATGTCAGTAAGTGACGTGTATGAACCAAGGACCCTGTAATTTGAGAAGGCATTGATCAACTCTCTTGACAGTTTCACCTAGACCTTCTGTTTTTTTAATTATAGGATTGCTTCATCTAAAATTAAAGAAGCTAAATGCACTTCTATCTCTTAGATAGGCCCCTTTTAAATGTCTTAAAAAGCTTGTATTGGTGTTTATAGGTCTAAACTCTTCTGCTGAGATGGATTAGCTAGTTCAGTATTAAAGCCACTTGTATCCCCATCAGTACCCTCGGGCTGTGACCAATGACTAAGCAATGACTCTGTTCCAAAAGTATGTGAAGGTTTGATTACTCTAGTCAATAACTGGAAGTACTTTGCAGTCAACGGTAGACAAACACATCTGTTAAAACATCCTCATTGCTCTCTGATGGATACAATGTGGCTCATAACATTGCATTTCATCTTTCATAACAGTTTAGTTATCCATTGTTTTAAGGGTTCTGAAAAAAACAGTCATAATGAGAAACAGAAACACAGAGGGAGAGGGAGTGGGGGGGGCGATTAAGAGGGAAGTAAGAAGTGCATTCAAAGGTTTTGGCACACCAGCTGGATCGCGGCCATTTATTTTCGAGCTGGGATTCAGAATGTGGAGGTTTGCTCATATACTAGACTCAAAAGCTTTTCCAACAACATGAGCTCACTCAGTTTGGCGTATCTCCACCTCTCAGCATCTCATTGTGCTGTACCACTGAGAACAGAGTGAATGCAACTCTGATACCCATCAAGGGTAAATTCTCCCATTCGGACTTGTTTTGTCTCCGATTTCAAATGCCCTCTTATATCTACGTATACATGACTGCAAACTGAGAAGGTCACTGTAAGCTATGGAGATTTTTTTCCTGTACTGCTGAGTGCTGCCAGCTAACATTTTAGGTGAACCCATCTCACCTGTTCCTGTTCTGCACACTATTCTTTTATTTTTCATTCTACTGTTTACCAATAGATAAATGCCAATGAGCCTTTAGTACAAGCTAAAGACACAAAAACGACATTCTAATGAAGCCAATGCTAATTGCATTAATCCCTTAATCACATCCATGCTGAGGATCAAACAAGTTAACAGAAGTTAATAAGCAAAAGATCAAAAATAATATGCATTATAATGCACATTAGCAACAATGGGTGCTCTTTATGCATCAACACAAACATTACATGAGTATTTTACACATAAATATTAGCTTATATCAAGCAAGCATTGATTTTTGTGACAGTAAAAACTTTCCTGACGCACAAAAAAAAATCAAACTAGATAGGATTCTATATTGTCTGGAAATACACAAGAAATAGCTCAGGGTCAGTGAATGCATCACAAACTCACCCACAGAGGGTCCAGGCCGCTGAGTCTGCAAAAGGCATCCATCAACTTGCTTCTCCTTCTTCCCTGATGCTCCACTTGTTGGGGTCGGTCAGCCCTGCTCCTCACGCTGGTTGTAGCACACACTCTTCACCAGTATGTTTGTGTGTGTGTGTAAGAGACTTTGGGGTAGATACTTTAGTTTATGTGTCCCTATTAGACTTTCCCTCTCTGGCTAATGGTTGTAAATCTTAGTTTTAGCTGGTCCTTGCCTCTCTGTCTGGGTGGCACGAGCTGTGTTTATTAGTGTGTGTGTGTTTGAGTTTGTCTTCATGATTTTTCCTCCGCCTTTAATAAAACGTCTTCTCTCAATGAAACTCTGTTTCTCTCCTGCTGCTCTGTTTGAACTGCTGCTGCTCTGAGATCCTGTGTCTTTCTGACTCTCACTCCAGTCTGTCTGCTGTTTATGAGTGTATCCTTGTTGGGTGGGTGGAAATACCTCTCCCTCTCTCTCTCTCTTTCCCTCTCTCTTTTCCTCTCTCTCTCTCTTTCCCTCTCTCTCTCTTTCTCTCTTTCACTCACACCCCTCTCTCCTCTCCCACATCTGCTGGATTTCGATCAAAACACCACAGCAACTCCCCCTCATTGGGATGACAGTCTCACACCCAGACAGTGACACACTCCTCCCACTTTCACTCACTGCCCCTTACCTCCTTTCTCGCTCTTTCTCCCCCCCATCCTCCCCCTTTACCCACATCCGAAACCAGTTGTCTGACCACACAGTGTCTGTTTGTGCACAGACATACCTTTTAAACTGAATCCAGCCACACTCACACAAATGCCACGATTTTAAAACCTTCACTATATCCAGGATCTTATCAACCTTAGTCACTTTTGTGTGACAACTATTCATATGTAACACCAGCGTGGTGCAAAGTTTAACATATTAGCATGTAGGTGTGGAAACCCCTTTGCAAGTGGACACTAGCGCTAATCTATCATATACTGCATGAGTCACAAACTTATGTTTTTCAGAGCAGACATTTAGTGGAAAATGTAGAGTGGCCTGGATGGCGTAAACCATCACATGCACTTCCAAGTATTGCAAAAACTTGCTGATATAGGAAGAAAATGGAAGTCATTCAGTTAATAAGTCATCGCATTGGACTGAAACTTGCATGGTAAGTGGAAAATGTAAATTCATCATGGACCAAAAAGTGCCATGTTGAACTGAAGAGGGTTTATGTTGGAGTACATTTAGTCGGTATAGGTAGCCAGTGAGGGAACTAGGAAAGTGCACTGGGTAGATGTCATTGTTTGCGCACATCGCCCCCTCTTGCCTTATTCGTAAAGTCAGTGAGGAACAAGTCTTTGGTGGAATCACGTCTAAAGCTCAACAAAAACAGGCCAAGATTAAATATGAACGAAAGGATGAGGAGGATAAATAATTCAGAGCAGCAAGTCAAAGACCAGAGAAAACAAGAAGAAATCTTAAAGACTTCAGGACCTTCAGTCTCTAGAGAAAGAGAGCCAGCAAGCACAAAGCAAACACAGAGACCCCTAGACCCCGTCCACACGGAGACGAAACAAGTTGTATCCGCTACATTTCTCTATCGTATGGACGGTTCGTCCACACGAGGCCGACACGGAAACGCGGATAATGATAACGACTCCCAAGGTGGGTAGATAATTGGACGAAACGCTCTGAGGGGCCAAACGGCTCAGTGTGTACGTCCTATACGATCATTTCCTGATAACGATGAAGCCATAGCCCCGCCTCTCCCCATCTCTGCTGCTCACCCCCGCGTCACCGCTGATGTGTTTCGCCAACAACAACAACAATGGCGGATCACAGGGTTGCTTTCGTGCTCCAGACGCTACTGACCATGATACAGATGTTACAATCTACAGCTCCTCTACCACAACCATCAGCAACAAGTGGACATGGAGAACTACATGAACTACATGTTGCTAAATCCACCGCGGAGAATAAACAGAAGGGCAACCTTGACAACCAACGCTGCTTTTGGTGTATTTTGTGGCGGAAGTACTTCCACTTACTTGCCACTTACAGGCCCGGCATATTTACTACAGCGTCTCCGGCGGGTCGAGCGGTCTCGTGTGGACGGACACATTTCTTGAGCCGATTCCGTGTGGACGGAAGATTTTTTTGATATCGACATCGGTTCGTTTTCATTTTCGTTTCCATGTGGATGGGGCCCTGGTGGAGTGGAGGGGGTTGTAAAACTAGCCAATTGCCAGAAAGTCCTTTTGCTACTTAAGCAGATGTTGATGTTTTGTTGAAGTTTTGTTTTAAACCGCAATAAAATGCATTTTACAAAAACATGTGCATTAGTGTGCAAGGCTAACATACTAAGATGCAAGGGTCTACAGGGCAACATGCATTATTAAAATAAAAAAATAAATAAAAATAATACTATACATTTTCATCGACTTTTTAAAAAGAACCAAAAAGAGTGTGTGTCTTTAAAGGTCTTTGTAGTCTGCTGCAAAACATCACAAATTGCGTGATGGTCAAGAGACAGGGGAAAACTTCAGCACAGCAGCTGTGCAGGAAAGTATGACAGCTGCACTAGACCAACACCACCACAGGGCCATCATCACCACAGGGAAGAAACATGGAAAGTTTCGGCAGAGAAGCAGACCACCACCAGGTCCTGTGTCTCGCCACGTGCAAATGGGAGATTATTATTCTTTAAAAAATGTGTCATCACTTTACGTTTCTCCTCCAGACTAGCAAGTGTTTTTATTCCCCATGTTAGTTAGCTGCTAGTGCAAAATGATTTGTAACATGGCTGATGACAAAATGTTGGAGTGGAACGTGTTGTTTTATGGATAATTTGGAGGTGAAATTAGAACAGGAACCTTTTAACAAATTCTGGTAAAGATATTGGTTAGAAATAAATATTTTTGAACTGATGTGTGTGCTTTGTTATAAGATGTAGTCAGGAGGTCAGAAAGTTCAGGATTACATTTTGCTCGACCCAACGTAACAGAACAGAATTGGATAAGTGTAATGTAGCAGTCAGACAGGTGTAAACAAAAAAGATATCCATGGTCTAACCGACTGTTGTGTTATGTCTCAGTCCCACGGCATGAGTGGAGTGTTGCTCCCATCAAGAAATGGACCGAAACACCTCAGACAGTCTACCACAGCCAGTGGGGTGGGTGGTGTGTGTGTGCGCGGTTGTTTACAGTACAATTTATTTGTTCCAAATAGCTCAGGGTTCAAACACTAAGAAAGAAAGGGATTTCTTCCCTTTCTGTTTTATTTCACGTATAGCTGTTTCTACACGGACCACTTGCGGTAAGAATGTTGTAACTTCCGGTTGTTGTTGTGGTTGTTGTTGTCATCTCCGGGTATCCCGTGTGCCTGTTCTGTTGCTGATAGCTTATTATCTTAAACTTAATCGATCGTTTTAAAACTCTTGATCACGGCGACTGCCTGACGTTGTAATCACACGTTACTACAGCTTAAGCACTCACAACTCTCCTTCTTTTAGCGACTGTAACTCCACAGTTGCCTACACTCTTTTCGGGTTTGCTAACGGTAGCTACTTTAGCTTGATAGCTAGCCATGGCTCTTTCCCCACCCTCGGGTGCTATTTCCTGCTCTAACTGTCTCATGTTTGGTTACTTCCCTACCTCCTTTACTGGTACCGATACATGTGTTGACAGTTAGAGCAGGAAATAGCACCCGAGGGTGGGGAAAGAGCCATGGCTNGAGGAAGATTTTTGACCGTAGGTGTCCGACTTGCGGCGGCCGTGTTTTAGCATTACTCCACACCGACGCTGCCACATTATAGTTGGGGTGCTTCTGATTGGCGTAAACAGGGGGCGGCCGAACCTCCGGCTCGGCCGCTATCGGCACGCGAGACCATTTTGGTACGGCCCTCGAAGGGTGAATTTATAACACGCAAAAGTGAAAAAATTCAAGAAATCTTAGACGCAAATATCTAGAACAAGCTTTTTGTTTTTCCTGCAGGTCAGTGGGCCTTGAACACAACCGAGCCTAACGTGTCATCACAGTTGGTATATGTCTCGTCTGACTGGGTGTAGTTCTAACGGAGAGCATCAGAACGCGGCTCCGGGCGGGGGACTCCAGAATTGCATAACATAAGGAGGCTGTACACATGCGCAGTTTTTTGCGGTGCTGTGTCTTTGTTGAAGCCCGAGTGGCGATCTGTTTCATCTGTCATACGCTGTCATTACCGTTTCAAGGTACGTTTGTTGTTATTAGGCATTCTGGTGGTGCTAGCTATGCTAACGCATATAGAGCTTTTTCTCAACAGTTTGGATGGTAAAGGCACATTCTTTATATTGATCATTTAGTTATAGAAAATAGAGAATACAAGTTAACAGGTATACATGACTAATTATGACAGTAAAAAGGTGTTGTTATATAACAAGGATACAGTTTTAAAAGGGAAGTGATTTGTAAATATCCATAAGAAACATCCTGCCTTACAGTTCTGTTTCATCATGGGTGTGTGGAGATGTATCATAGATCTCTTCATGTGGCTTCAAAGTCACCGATTGATGCTTTATACTCAACATTTTAAAAATTTCCTGGTTTGTGCATGGCCCACCCACCGAGATGAGGTAGATCCGCTCGCCCACCTCCCACTTAGATCATGGCTTCCATGATATGAACTTAAATACATTTGGCACAATCTTGGTTGTCCATTCTTTCTGTTTTTCGGTGGTCTGCCCTTCGGGGGTATGAATGCGCGGGTCATGGTCAAATAACTGGATTAAGAGGTTGCTTTTTCTTTGCACAGCATGAAAGAAACGCGAAATGAATGGGCTGTTTTTTAAGCAGACGTTGAGTTCAATAATTTGTACGGCCCTCGAAGGATGTTGTCAAAATTGAAATGGCCCTTGAGAGGAAAAAGGTTCCCCACCCCTGGCGTAAACGAACATCATTACCACCGACGTGAATAACAATCCTACTGTATTTACGTTTATTTTTAGCCAGCAGTTTAAGATGCGCCTCAACGTCGCCCGCTCTGGCCCCCGGAATGCATGTGACTGTAGAGGCTTCGGTCTCTAAATTCACGTGTCTCATAATAGAGCTACCAATAACCAGAGTTGGCTTCTCAGCGGGTGTCTCGCTGAGTGGGGAATATCTGTTAGCTACGTGAACGGGTTGGTGGGGACCTGCGGGTTTCGCGTTATGCCCCTTCTGAACAGTCACCCAATCTCCCTGCTGCTCGGGAGTTGCCTGGGGACGGCTAAGAGGAGCTACCTTTTGCCGGTCCGCACCGGCTAACGTGGGCTTTACTGTAGCTGAGTTACTTTCTAAGATGCGGAGCCGGGCTTCTATGGCTATGATTCCCGCCTCCAACCTAACAACTATACTACATTTAACACATGTATCGGAACCAGTAAAGG